GGCTGTGGGGAGGGCACCATCCTCTCAGTGTCATCCCGGCCTCTCCTCTCTTCCCTTCCAGCCTGGGCTTCTGCACGTGAGCATCTGCCCTGCCTCCCTCGTCTGCCCACCCCACTCTCCAGGGCCCACACCTGCTTCGCCGAAGTGCCACCCCTCCAGCAGGGCTTCCGTGGCCCCAGCACCCCCACTTCCTCCATGTCTTCACTCTAACTCAGGACACTTGGGTGTCAAGCACTTCTTGGCTTGTCCACAGGGACAGGGGCCCTATTGGTTCACCACAAACATGCTTGTAAAGTGCTGAGTAGGAGCCCAGCACACAGTAGGTCTCAGGAAATGCAAGCTCCAGGTATCCTCACGTTGAACAGCAGAGAATCCAAGATGGACCTAGAAAGGTCTGCCCAGAACCAGAGGGAAGCAAGGGGGGTGTCCTGGGCAGAGCAGGGGGAGGCTGTGAGGATGGCATCGTGTGCTGGGGGCCTGGAGGAGGCCCAGGAAGGGCTGATGGGAGAGGCCTCCAGGTCAGACTAAGGGCAGCGGGCACCCCAGCAGGTGGCCCAGCAGGGAGTGCAGGGCCTACTTTGCCACTCACGAGTTGGTAAGAGACTCTGGAGGCAGTAGGGCCTAAGGAGAAAGGGCAGGGCTTGGAACCCCGTGCCCACGTGGACTCCCTGCTGGCACAGCTGCTCTTCCACACGGGGCTGGTCTGTGCTGTCGCTGGGAAAAGGTCTAATTCACCTGCCACTAAATTAGCTCGCCGGGGCCCTGACCCCACCTGCCCGAAAAGTCAAGGCCTGAAGGTTTGTGAAACTGGATAACAGCGGCAAACAGGGCTTTTTTTTTTTTTAGAATATATGGCAAATAAAAAAGTGATGCCCCGCCTCCCAGGGCCAAAGGGCAACAGTCACGATGCCAGAGAGAAACTAGGTCAGCAGTCGCAGGGCTGCTCCTGGCCTCTCTGTTGATGGCAGTGAACGTGGGGTAGAATGGACCACATACCCCTTCGAAGGCCTGAGAGCAGGGGCTGCGCAGTCAGGCCCTGGCAGTCTGGAGTCTGCAGCCTCCTGGTGCTGCCAAGCCCCCTCTCCGAGTGCTGAGGGGCCTGGGCCCGGCCCTTGCAGGACTCCCAGGGCCAGGAAAGGGCTCTGCCTTCAACCCAGACCAATTCAAAACTGTCGTCAAAGATTTAAGTCTATGGAAGGCCTGCCAACCCATATGCATACGCTATAGAGCCAGGAGGGGCCATCCCTGGTCCAAAATGTTCTAAGGGAAGTCTGAAAGCAACAAGAGTGATTCATTCATTCAAATTACTGAGCCACTACTGTGTCCCAGGCCCCAAGCTAGGCACTGTGATACATCAGTGAACCAAATAGAACACAGGAAACCCTTGCCCCAGACTGTTCTTACTTATGATCATTATTGTTTATACAAAGAGAATGGAAATTAGAATTTTTTAAATCCATGTAAGATTCCTGGGCCCCGGCCATCACTGTAGCTTCCTTTTCTTCTTTCCCTGATTCCTTTCCAGTGCCCGCCCACGGGCCCACACATCCAGCACGGCAGCCCCATAATTTCGTAGCCTGCTGCCCTCACCTCTGTCATAAAGAGTTGCCACCTTGCCACCCGGCTCTGCAACTGCCGCTTCCAAGGGCCGCAGAACAGTCCTGTCCGAGCCCTCACCACGGTGACTGAACGGTTCTCAGGAGTCGGACACGGAAGTTGCAGAGGTTATCGAGCTGAGTCAGGGAAACCGAGTCACAGTAAATGAGCAAGATGACATCGAGGTTCCCCGTTGGTCGAGCTGATGGTTCTTTGGGCTTTTCATAAGGGCCCCATCAGGGTCACCAGCTGACCCCTCCCGGCCCCATAGCCCGGCTCTTCCCAAGACAAGACTTCACATGGTTTCCACACCTTATTTCAGCCCCTCCTCCAACAGCCACAGGGTCAGAGGCACCACCCCGCTGCACGTGGGAATCGCCAGTGAAACTCCCCATGTCCACCCGCACCCCAGCCCAGTGATGTCAGAATCCCTGGGATTGGGGCCTGGGCATTAATGTATCTTCAAATCCCCTCAACCCCCCTCCCTGCACCACCACCACCACCACCACCAAGTGATTCTAATGTGCAGCCGTATCTCATTATCCATATCTCATGTACAAAAAAATGGAAGCTCAGAGAGGTTAAGTCACTTGCCCAGAGTCACACAGCTGAAGGTGATGGAGCCAGAATCCCAGTTTGTCTGACTCCTGGGCTGGACTTCTGTCCACCCTGACTGTGGGACAAGCACATTCACTCTCAACCAAAGCTTTCCCCCTGGTTTTTAAAGAAAAAATGAGGGAATCCAGAAACAGAATGTGGCTGGAGCCCCGCCCACCAAATTCACCTCTGTGCAGATGCTTCTCCCGGGGCCCGCCCCACACTCCCTCTCTAGCTCCCACCTCCCTGGTCTCCATGAGGGGTGGAGGCAGGGCACAGCCCTCCCCAGCATTGACACTGTCTCCCAGGGATCTACGGTGACTCCCCGAGTCAAACATCCATGCCGAACCCTGGCAGCTCACACCTGCCCCACTTCATTTATTTATTTATTTATTTAAATCCTCAACTGAGGATATTTTTCCATTGACTTTTAGAGAGTGGAAGGAGAGACACAGAAAGATAAACATTGATGTGACAGAGACACATGGATTGGTTGCCTCCTGCATGCACCCTGACCTGGGCCAGTGATCGAGCCTGCAACTGAGGTCCGTACCCTTGACTGGAATCAAACCGGGGCCTCTTCAGTCTGCGGGTCGATGCCCTATCCACTGAGCCAAACCCACTAGGGCTGCTGCTCCACTTTATTGCCTAACCTTAGGCAAGTCTCTCTGGTTTCTTCATCTGCAAACTAAAGCTGTTGTTGAAAATATTTGCCCACCTTTCCGGTCGGCGGGAGGATCAATGAGTGGAGGTGAATAACAAGGCTCTGTAAACGGCGAGGCACCGGCAAATATTAGTTCTCCTGGCGTGCCCCGGAGGGGCCTGGTCTCGCGTGCCAGGGCGCTGTGCACAACCTGGTCACGTCCCAGGTCAGCGCTGTAACGTGACTTGAGGCCACATGTTGCACGCTCGGGCCTCCGTATCCTCGCTTGTAGATGGGAGAATAATAACACCTTGCCTTCCTCCTGGACTGGGGTACAGACCAGGCGTATGGGTGCCTGAAACGCCTTGGGGTGCAGGCACGTGGTAAAGGGGTGGCCGTGGGGATGGGCGGGCCTTTCAGGAGGGTCCCTGGGCCATGCCTTTGCCCCTGAGACAGGAAGGAGCTTTGTTCTTATTAGTTTGTCGCCTGCGTTTCTTCTGGGCAATCCCAGACTCTCAGGAGTGGCCCTGGGTTTGAGCCCCAGCTCTGCTGCCCTTGCTGTGTGGCCTCAGGGTCAAGGTTGGCTGCTGAGCCTCAGCTGTGTGGAAGGAAACGTCTGTCCACAGCACCAGCGCCTGGAAGTGCCATCAAGTGGCCGCGCTGTGGGAGCCACCACAAGGGAGAAGAGACAAGGAGGACAGGAGGGAGGAGGGGCCTGGAGTGGTTCCTTCGGATGCTTCTGGAAGGTCTGAGGGAGAGAGGAGTGGTGGTTTTGATATGGGGCAGAGGACCCCAGAGAAGCACCCTGAGGCTACCCTACCTTCTTCCGCTGGGTCCCCAGCTCCAGAGCACCTGCAGGAGGCCTGGGGAGGGGGGGGCTGCCATACCAGTGGGACAGACTGCTGAGTCTGAGTCCCCGCCACCACGTGCCAGGTCCCTGCCCTCAGCTGCACTGACCAGCTGTCACCACCTTGCAAGCCCCCCACTGGCAATACCAGTGCACAGATGGGGAAACTGAGGCTCAGAAGGGAAGCATCTCTCCCAAGTCACGCTGCCAGCCCCTTGCAGTGCTCCCCTGTGACCAACCGTCCTGGTTGCTCAGGACTGACGGGGTTCCTGGAACATGGGGGGAGGGGGTGGGGGGAGGTTCAGTTACCTTCCTTTTTTAAAAAATTGTCCTAACTCTTTGAAATCTAGTGTGTGTTTAATGCAGCTAGATTTGCCAAAGAAAATACAGGCTGCCCAGGTAACTTGGAATTTCAGATAAATAATGAAAAAAATTTTAATATGCACATATCCTAAATATTGCATGGGACATATTTATACCAAAAGTTTATTTCTTTTTTTAAAATATATTTTTATTGATTTCAGAGAGGAAGGGAGAGGGAGAGATAGATAGAAGCATCAATAATGAGAGAGAATCGTTGATTGGCTGCCTCCTGAACCAGCAACCTGGGCATGTGCCCTGACCTCGGAATCAAACCGTGACCTCCTGGTCAGAGGTGGACGCTCAAACACTGAGCCATGCTGGCCGGGCTCCAAAAGTTTATTTCTTGTTTATCTGAAATTCCAAGTCACCTGGGCCCCTGTATTTTATTCCGTGCATCTGCTGCCCTACTTTCATCACCTCTGAATTCAGAGGCTCACGCGTTAGGTGCTTAATAGCCACTTGAAGTCGTGGTGGAGAATGGGGACAAGACTGGTCTAGAGGAACTGGGGTGCCCGGTGGAGTCCAAGAGCACAAGTTCCCTCAAAGTCAGCCTGCATCTTGCTCCTTCCCTCTCTGTGCCCCCCCTTTAACCATCACCTCTTTGTCTGCCTGTGACATGGTCTGTCTTTGTCTTAGTTGCGATTTCCTGGAAGCAGCCCAACACATTCTATTTCTGATAACTCCTGGCCAGTGAACCTGTGACAGGGACTAAAGTCCACATTTTGCCTACGATTCTCCATATCAGCAAATTTTCAAAATCCAGAAGATGGGTCAAGGCCGGTGGGGGTGGCGGGCAGGTCAGGGAGGAAATACCCGCCAGACCCAGGATGTGAGGGTCCCAGGAGCCCCCTCTTTCCTGGGTTCCCCTCTGGACCTCCATCCCCAGGCTTCCCCAAGCCCAGCCTCGCCCTCCGATGGGAGTCTCTGACTCTGGGATATCTCTCTTTGCCTCAGTTTACACATCCAAAGCACTGGGAAGTTGCAAACCAGAGCCCTGGGATGGGGAAGTGAAGCCAGCGACATGGCTGCTGGGGAAAGATGCAGACTGTGCAAGAGGTAGGTCCCCACGCTGCACTCCTGGCCCTCAGGGGCTCCCCGTGTGGTCAGACCCGGAACTGCACTCCTGGCCCTCACGGGCTCTCTGTGTAGTCAGACCCCCACTAATCCTGGTCCGTGTGTTGGGTACGGGTTCAGAGTGTCAAAGAGTGTTGGTAACAAGGCCATGGTTGGAACAGAGACCCAGAGAGGTAGACCACCAGCCCAAGGTCACCCAGCACACCTGCAGCAGTGCTGAGGCCTGGAGCAGTGGCTTCCTCTACCCCGCTCTACATGCTACATGACCCCAGGGGTCACTGATGCCCAGCCTGGACCAGTCATGCAATTTGTGGAGCACAGAGCAAAATGAAAACGTGGGATTGCTTGTTCAAAAATTCTTAAGGATTTTAAGGTGATGACAACAGAGCATTAAACCAAGTGCTGGGCCCTTCTGAGGGTGAGTCCTGACACATGGCATATTCCCAGGAACACCCAGGGGTCTGGCAGGCAGAAGAGTGGGGCCTAGGGCAGGGCTGGCCCTGTCCTGCCCACCTCCCTACTCATCTCCCCAGCCCCTGGGACCCTTGGCCATGAACCCAACTGTGCCTGACCTCCTCCCTAAACCCAGGACCCTCCTCAACCCAGCAGCTCATGCGGCCCTCAAAACCTCTAGGTGCTCCCCAGCCCCGCCCTGTGCCAGCACTCCGCTTCTCTCTCTCTCTCCCTCACTCCCTCTCTCTTTGCAGGTCCCAGCAGGTCTCTCATTCTCTGAGGTGCCCCACCCTCTGTCCCTGAAAGGAGCCCTGCAGTCAGACTGGGAGAGAGATCACCTCTGGCACAAACTGCAAGGGGCACACAGCACTCCAAACATCAAGGCACACAGTGCGTTCATGCAATATTTTTAAAAGAAAAAGTAATGCCAAATGCAGGGTGAGTAAAACGGCAAAGTTCTAAACCAGTGGTTCTCAACCTTCCTAATGCCGCGACCCTTTAATACAGCTCCTCCTGTTGTGGTGATCCCCAACCATAAAATTATTTTCACTGCTACTTCATAACTGTAATGTTGCTACTGTTATGAATCATAATGTAAATATCTGATATGCAGGATGTATTTGGGCGACCCCTGTGAAAGGGTCGTTCAACCTCCAAAGGGGTCGCGACCCCCAGGTTGAGAACCGCTGTGAATCTAAACAAAGACAGCAGCAGTGTTCTGATTCTTTGCATCAGGCCTCCCTGTGGCTCAGCACAGCCCTGGCACAGACTCTGTCTTCATTCGAAATTTTAGTATTTTGTTTAACCTAGATTTTTTGCATTAATTTTGATTTTTTTTAAAAAATTGCATTAAGACATTTTCTTGATCTCTCAGTGCTTTGGGCATCCCTTAAGTTTCACATGCAAATTAGTGCCCCACTTGCCACCACGCCCATCCCTGGCAGGGCTGGCAGGGAAGTCCCCCGATGAGAGAGAGTCACATGGGGGACAATCACATGGACAAGAAAATAACAGCGAATCCGCACACTGAGGTCCATGGGCCAAATCCCGTCCCAACTCCATTCCTTCCTCTGGAGCGCCTACTGTGTGCTGAGCACTATTGGAGACATGGGATAAAACAGACAGTTACACTTCCCTACCCACACAGAACCACATCCTGGTTTGGGGAGCGAGACAATAAAATAAGTAAGAATCAGCAAAATGGGAGGTGTGCACTGCTACGCGCTAAGGAAAAAAATAAGAACCAGGGTGCAGGCTTCATGTTTTAGGCGGGGTAACCCAGGATGAGGTCATTTAAATGCCACCCCCACCCCAAGTGGAACAGTCTGTTACTTGATCCCATTTTTCAGATGAGGAAACTGAGGCAGCTTGACCAGGAAGTGGCAGAGCCGGGTTCTCAGCTGGGCAGCTTGGTGCCAGAGGGTGTTTTGGGGGGTGGGGGGCAGAGTGGAGACACCATGGAGTCAGGGGGAGTGAAGGAAGGGAAGTCTTTCTCCACTTAAAGGCGCAGATCCTCTCCTGCTCCCTAAGGGAACTGCAGGTTGGCTCATTCAGCGCCCCTGGTTCCTCCATTCACTCACTGAGCCCCCAAGGTGGAGTGGGGTGGGGGGCAGCCTGGTCACCCCAAGTCCCCCTCTGCCACACAGACAGCCCTGTGGAGGGACCCCTTTAAGGCTGGCCCTGGGGCAGGCAGGATGACTGCCAAGTTCATTCATCCAGGGGCCCCTGCTGACTCACGCTTATGAAAGTGATTTTCCTGGCCCCGCCCACCACCCGCCTCTTGAAATACCCTGGCTTGCCCTGGCCTCTCACAGCCTCTCGGATCCCCAAAGGGTAATGAGCGTCTTCCCTCGCGGGCTCTCCTAGTGTCCGACCAGACCAGGACCGGACCAGGCTCAGCAGTCTCCCTGGTCCCCTGTAGGTCAGGTGAGTGGGCTGGGCAAGGCAGCGGGGTGGGACGTGGTAGTTGTCCTGGGCAGGGGTGGCCAGCAGGGCCCTGGAGCCAGGCAAGGGAGCTCCCAGGTGGTCCTGAGAGGAGGCCCACCCTGGCTTCCCAGCCCGCCTGCTTCTGCCCCCACCGCCAGTTTCCTCCTCCTGGCCATGCCCACCTCCAGGTGCCTGGCAACCTCAGCAGGACAACTGCCCTGCTGCCCGCAGTCGGAGCTCACCCTGCCCATGTGATGCTGCTCTTGGCAGGAGAGAGGGGGGTGTGGCTAACTCCAGGCACGCTGCCCAGTGTCTCGAGGCCACTGGGTCTTGAAGCCAGACTGGGTGCTTCCCCTGGGGTCCCGCCTCTCCTGTTCAAGTGGGGCAGCACCCCCTCCCCCATGCACCCCCCTCCCGTGCCCGAGCACTGCCACGGGCCCCAGGGCCTTGGCTTCTCAGGGAGGAGGAGGGAGGGGCTGAGATCAGGAAGCCTGGGGACCTCGGAGCTCTCGGGGCCTCTTCATCCTCCCTGCCCACAGCTCATGTCACCTGCTTGGTGGCACTGACAGGTATCCAGCGGCTGGATTTGTGCGTGTGGGCCTGTCTCAGACACCCCTGGGCGGCCTAGGCAAGCCACCTCCCTCTTCCTGACCTCCGTGCCTCCCTCTGGTTAAAAAACCCACCTGGAGAGGTTGCTGTGGGTCCAGGTGTCCGGGCTCCAGGCCACCAGAGGCGCTCAACCCACGCAGCCACGCAGGCGTCCCAGGGACTCGGAGCCGCTTGAAGTCAGTGACTGGGAAGGACGGTGCTGCAAGCCTATGGGAAACACTCTCCGAAAGGGCACTGATTTCCACTTTGTTTATGCTTCTCTGCTTTGGTGACTTTGAATCCGTTTTTAACGTTAACTTTTTACATGTTCATTAACTTTTTTTTTTTGTTACTCCTCACCCGAGGATATTTTCCCATTGATTTTAAGGGAGAATGGAAGAGAGAGAGGGAAAGACAGGGAGAAACATTGATGTGAGAGAAACACATCAATTGGTTGCCTCCTGCATGAGCCCCAACCAGGGCCCAGGCCGGGGAGGAGCCTGCAACCTGGGCACGTGCCCTTTGGTCCGCAGCCCGACACTCTATCCACTGAGCCAAACCGGCCAGGGCGATGTGAACTTTTTTAGATGACACCTGCCCCCTTCAACCAGAGGGGCTGAAACAAAAAGTTAACATCAAACGCTGCCTGCCTGGCTCCACACGCTAAGAAGCGTGAAAAGAATGGAAACAGGAAAACTGGCAGCTGTGCGTTGGCGGTGTGCCTTCCTCCGAGGTTATGGGAACTGGACGCTGCTCAGGTCTCCGGGACGGCCGTGTCGCTGCACAGGAAATGACCCTTCCGGTCGGCCCTGGGCAGTGACCTCAAGAAGCTTCTGGAGGGAGCACTGGAGTTGGAGTCCAAAGCCCTAGGGGTAACCGGGCCCCTGCACCTTCCGGGCGGGTGATAGGGGTCGTCAGCTCCTCATTGGTGCTGGGAGGATTCAGAGACAAAGGAGGTGAGCGGTGGCCTGCGTGGGCGTGCCAGGGGGCTCGGAGCAGGTTCGCATACTCATTTGGGGAGACATGGGGGGACTAGTTGGTCTCAGCCCTTAGGGATCAAACTCGAGCTCCGTCACCCACAGGCTCCATCACCCACAGGCTCTGGGACCTCAGGGCATAGCCTCACCTCCCCAAGCCTCAGTTTTCTCGTCTGCAAAGCAGTTACTGTGAGGCTTCGGGCTGAAGCACAGGGAGCATTTAGCAAGGACACAGGTGTCCGCTTTGCTGTTACTCCCGGGGACAGTGATGACCAGGCGCGGTGCCCAGGACTGTTTGAAGGCACCAGGAGAGTGAGAGGAGCGCTCTGGGAGCTACCACCCTGTTCTCCAGGGCCGCGGTGTTACTGAGAAACCTGCCCACCCAGCTGTGAACGCGGCCCCCTGGCTCCCTCCCCAGCACCAGTGCAGGGACAGAGCAGTAGGGCGAGCAGGGAAGGGCCTCTGGCAGGAGCTGCCACACCCTGTCACACTGCACTCTGCAAAGAGGTGGCCTGGGCTCCAGCCAGCTGGGCCCGTGCAAGCCAGGGCAGAACTCCTGGCACACCGTACAGGCTGTAAGAAGCTTGCTGGGCCTCAGTTTCCCCATCTGTAATATGGGAGTGATTGTAAGAGTACTTATAACAGCCCAGTTAAATAAGGATTCAATTAGTTAATGGACACAGTGTTTAGAACATACTTGGCACCAAGCCACTCCATAGACGTACAGGAATGGTAGCCTGTTGTTGTTATGAGTGGCAGTGATGCGCCTCAAATCCTCTCCTCGGGCACACAGGGAACCAGGCATGGAGACCATGCACCCCAGTGTCAGCTGGGTGCTACCTTTTGTCTCCCTGGGGAGATGCTGGGGGACAGGAGGCTCACCTCGACAGGAGAGGGTGGTTGTCCCTGGCCCGAGGCCCGAGCTGAGGCGAGGAGCCCTGGGTCATACGTACCTGGGGACAGGCATGGTCACAGGCAAAGCCTGGGCACAGTTAGCCCTGGTTGAAAACGCTGCTGCAAGACCCTGAGAAACTTGTGCAGCCTCTCTACGCCCTTGTTTGCCCACGTGTTACATGGGATGGTAGCCTTGACAGTACTTTCTGGATCTGGTCAGTGTGAGGAGGACTTGAGAAAAAGTTTGCTAAATACCCAGTAGATAGCAAGTGCCAAACGCCCACCCATTCCTCACACACTCACCTGGATGTTGCTTGTGGCCCTCAGGACAGCAGGGCTGCTGGACAGTGGGTAAGGCTGGGCCCTGTTAGAGGGGGGGGAAGTGGAGAATCACACAAACACTCCATCCATGCTTTTGTTCCGGCCCTCCGGTCCAGTTTCAGAACCCATTGTGGCACTCAAGTCAAAAAGTTTGCCCACCCCTGACTCTCCAGCCCCTCCAGCCCCTCCAGCCCCTCCAGCCGCTCCAGCCCCTCCAGCCCTAAGAACTGGGTTTGGGTGCCGTTGAGTGATTTGGGCCTGTGGCCAGCAGGGGGCGCTGATGCTCCAGAAATGTTCAGGTTGATAGGCCGTTTCCCCAAACCAAATTACTCTAGGCTTCCAAAGTTCCCCCACCT